AGATGCCCTTCCTCGGCATCCTCCGCCTGGCATGTCACTGACGTGCTTTACAGAACGCTTTTCCACGCGCCGCTTATGCGGTGTGCACGCCCTCTTCTTACACAAGGAGAGTCTGAGGTTCAGAGGGCGCCGTGACTCACCTGGACCACACAGCGGGGGACACACCGGGGGTCTCTCCGCACTTCACTGTGTGTAAGGCGCTGGGACTCCAGGGCGCGCCCGCGGAGGGGCCCCTTCCCACACTGGCACCAGAGCCACAGAGGCAGCTCCCCCTTTCGGCGCCACCCGGAACAGGAGGGCCCCACGGGGTCCCGGGGGTTCTGGGGTGAGGCCCTGCCCTCCCCCACGGTGACGGGCTCCCTCCTGCCCAGTGTCACCAGGATGAGCCTGCTGGCTGCCGGGGAGCTTTCTGGCACAGGGGCAGGAGGGTGGTGGGCGGGAACAGAGAGCGAGATGACGAGGGCTGGCTGGGGACCACCGGGCAAGGGGCCCTGCACGCTCCCATCCTCCCCCAAAGGGAGAAACCGACAATTTTAATGGGGGGTACCCCTGAGGAGGTGGAGGGGCGGCTGCAGGGTGAGGGGAGGGCCCCGCCCACCCAGGCTGACTGCAGCCCTCCGCCTGGGCCCGGTGGGCGAGCTCTGCCCACACGGAGCTGCCTTTTGCAGTCGGCGCTGAGAAACCTGCCAGCACAGAGCAGAGTCCCAGCGAAGCCCCAGCAGCTCAGGCCTGGTGCCCCTGCATCCACAGCCCTGCTTCCTGGGCCAGCCCCTGGGCCTGCCCCCCTACCACCTGGTAGCTGGCTCATTCACCCGGGTGCCTGGTGACCCAGGCCCTGAGATCCCTGATATCCCCAGAGACCGCGTCATTAGCGCCCCACACCTTCGCTTGGGTGTTTCCTCCGAGCCCGTGGAGCACACACAACGGGTCTGTCCCGAAAGCAGCTTGCGGCCGGGAACGGTGCGGGGGTCACCCCATCAGGATCGTCCAGACATTTCTAGAAGCAAGGCGGGGAAGCCAGCTTCTGCGGCTGTTCTGGTCCCTTGTGTCCTCGTCATGGCCAATTCCTAGAGCCAAGGACGACCTTACATCGTGTCAGTTCCTAGAATCAGAGTAATTTCTGTTTTCTGTGAGATACTTGGTTCCGGCGAGGTGGGATGGGTAATCCTGACAAAACGGCAGATAGGAGAAACCAGTGGCGGATTTAAGTTTCGCTACGACTGACACTGTCAAGAGTCTCACGACCTGTTGGTTTCAAGCAACGTTTGATGTAAAGACATTCTAACAAGCGAGCACGTGGCAGAACTGCGCCCCTTTCTCGGGGTTTTTAGTGACGCACTTGATCCGTAGGCAAGAGCGCCTTTTCCAGGGCTGTAGGATCCAAAAGCCGCGGGCATGCCCTCGTCCGCGCCTCGCAGAGCCAGAAAGCTCTGTGATGCAGAGCTGAAGCCGCCACCTGAATTCTGCGCCTGGAGGCCTGGCTCTCCTGACAGGTGGGGAGGTACCTCAGGCAGGTCCCGGAGCCTGGCTGTGTCCCGGACGTGCAGCGACCCGCCGGGCAGTGGCACGCAGGCCACCAGGATTCACGGGGCACCTCGTACGTGTCAGATGCCAGCCAGCCTCTGTGCCCATCGCAGCCCTGGTGTCTGGCTTCCCGAAGGGGCTGTCGTTGTCACCTTGACTCATGTAACTGATGAAGGACAGCGCAGGGTCAGCCAGCACTGCGTCCGGGAGCGCAGCCCGTCCCCTGCTCGCAAGGGCCCCTTGATGCCACGCGAGTCTCCTGGGTGGGTCCCCGCGGGGTCCCCGAGCTCCAGTGGGGCAGCTGCATGCAGACAGCTTTGCGGCCCTGAGACAGAGCAGACCTGCAGCATCAGGGACCTGACGGTGCGGTGCTGTCCAGGCGGGCAGGGGCCACCACACACTGACCTGGCAGCTTCGGAGCTGCATGGAGAGGTGGGCGGCACCCGGCACATAGGAGGCAAGTACGAGGCGCTCCGCAAAGACCCGAGGTGGTGGTAGCAGGCAGCCTCCCGGGCAGCCCCTCGCTCGCTCAGGGAACGTCCTAGCCTGCTGTTTACTGGGCTTCCCAGCCCGCGCCGCCACCCCGGCTCCTCCTCAGGTGCAGAGAAAGTGACTGGACAATTTTCCCCCCAGAAAATACAGACAAGCCGATGGTGGTGACCGTGAGCACAGCTGTAGCCGTGACCATGGACAACAGGACAGCCATCGCTGCAGGTAGGAGCTGCCCCTGGGCTTTGAGGCTGGGCAGTTGTGAGTCCGAGTCGAGAACGAGGCACAAGTGACGGAGGCGGCCCCGCGCGTGGTTTGTGAGGCCACGGTCTGTATGTTTTCCCAGATGAAATGTGGGGCTGAGGGGAGGCGGAGTCTTCCTGAGCCATTTTGTTTATACAGCTGTGAGGCCTTAGATCTAACAGAATTCATGCAGTAAACTGAAGCCCAGAGAGGTTGAGAAATCTGCTCAAGGTCACACAGGACAGAGACTGCCCAGACCTCCTTCCCACCCTCTTTGTGTCGCTTCCGCCTCCACTGCCCACTCAGGGGAGGAGTGGGTTTGTGACTCAGACCCTAAAGTCCGAGCCCGTACGTGAGTCCTGTGCTCCCATGCATGTTCTCATCCAGCCCGGGGGGGGGGGGTGACCTGGTTTGGCTCCATTATACAGATGAGGAAACTGAGGCCCAGAAATGTTATTTGCCCAAAGTCCCACAGCTAATAGTCAATGAAGCTAGAATTTAAGCTCAGATTGCCTCTCTTGAAGGCCCAGGATCACGACCCTTTGTTGCAATTGGCCACAGAAGCCATGAGAGTACCCGGGCAGCCTCACGAGCTGCCCCGGCTTTGTAGCTTTTTGGAGCCTAAGAAGGGCCTTGGCACCCCTGCCCACTCGTCTGAGAGCCCTGAGGATCCTGCCCTCGGTCTCCATGTCTCAGACCCCACCGTGTTCTGAGAGGCTGTGAGGTCCTCACAGCTCTCAGCCATCCTGGGCACTGGGGTCGGGCGCCTGCATTGTGGGGGACCCCACAGCTGCCAGGGGCAGGCGAGCAGGCCCCTCGTGTCTTCTCCCCCAGGCTGAGTGCAGGGCAAAGGGCAGGGAGGAGCGGCCCAGCAGGCAGGCTGCCCCTTTGTCCGCCCGCCCCAGCAAGGGCACGGCCGTCCACGCTGGGATGGAGGAGGGAGGGAGGGAAGGGCTTGTTCTGGTCGCTCGGAGCCTCGTTTGGAAACACGTGTGTCACAGGGGTCCTGAGGCTGTGCCGCTGGGCACTTTGGAGGGACCCGCGCCTTCCCAGCCGCCTTTCTGTCCTTCGCCTGGCCTGCTAATCCCAGACCCTAAAGACTATCCCGTAGCCCCTGCTCCCTCCATGACGTGGGCTTCTCAGCTCCCGCACACCCGAAAGCCCAGCAAATAGAAGGCACGCGGGGTCAGCCTGCTGGCTGCGCTCCCCTGCACTCTCCAATTATTTGACATCATTTTTAACTCGGCGCTGCATCAGAGCCAGGAGGGGTTGCCATGGAAACCGTGTCCGGGTGCCTCTGGCTTAACTCACTGTAGACAGTCGCCCTGAAGCTCGGGGGGCGCGGATGGGGTAGGACAGGGATGAGGCACTGGAGACCTTTATGCTTCAATCCTTTTTGCAGCCTCCTTCTGTAATTTCCTCTTCCTAGCCTGTGGCTCAGCCTCCCTGACCCTGGACCAGCTAGCCTGTGTGTGTGGTGCTGGCAGTTCCTTTCCTCGCGTGTTCTGTGGCACACAGGCTGCACGTTCGATGTTTGTGCCCTGGGCTGGGGAGAAGGAGGAAGGGCAGCTAGGGGGACAGCCAAGGGCCAGGCAGATGAATGAGGAGGCGTCGCTTAACCTCTAAGCAGGTATTTCTCAACGGTTCATGCAAAATTTCTAGGAATCTACTGTTTTGATCAGGATCCACTTTCAAGTCTCTGTGCCCTCCAGGCCCCACTTGGGAAATACTGCCGAGTGTCATGGTGGTGCCATAACCTGCAAGTGTGTTTCCCCAGCCCAGCAGCCTTTGTGCAGAGGGCCTGCTGTCTGGAGCTGCCTGACGGCTCCTCTCCTGGGAGTTCCGCCTGCGTGCGCACGGCCCAGCCTTCAGACGGCGGGGCGCTCTCAGAGCAGTGCGTCTGCGCGTTACCCACACCTGTGCAGGCTGTGCAGGCGGTCCCCTGCCCCCATGGGGCCTGCTCTCCCAGCTCTGCTGTACCGGTCAGGGCCGCAGGAGGGAACCTCTCCCCACTTACCCCCACCCAGGAAGGGGTCCAGCCGAACTCCTGGAACAGGGACCTGCTGGTTCCCTTCTCCCCGGGGTTGGCTCCTGGCTCGCTGGGGTGTCACCCAAGGGAGGGCTCCTGGCTAGAAGAGAATCTCGTCTTGGTCTGAAGACTGTGACGCGTGTAGCCCAGGCCCGGCCAGTCAGGCGAGGTGGGCCACGCGGGCCGCAGGTGGGCAGACAGCCGGAGGCCTTGCCTTCGCTCACTCCTCCCCCGGCCCCGCCCCAGCCCTCCGGCCCCGAATTCTGATCCTGCACCTGCTGAGCCCTGAGGAGGGGTTGTCTGTATGTCAGCCTCAAAAGCACAGGACATTAAACGGGGCTCGTCCTGCAAACCCAGCGACACCCCTCCAAGGCTGGCGAAACCTAGTCCCCTAAACTGCTCTCGGGGAGCCGCCCCTCCCGGCAGGCAGCAGGAGGGTCCCCAGGGCCAAGGCGCGCCTCCTACCCCGTGGCCGTCTGCCCTTGACCGCAGGGCAGCCTCGCTCGCAGCGGGGCTGGGAGCAGGCCCGGGGCTCCGCTCTCCCCCGCTGCCCTCCCGGGGGTGCCCCAAGGCCAGGCCTCGGGTGGGAGCTGCCGTCCTCCTTAGGGGCCTGGGGACACTACGTGCACCCATCTGGGGAGGTCAGCGGGCAGGAGCCACCATCCTGGCTGCTGGCTCCTGCATCCCCTCCCGCCCAAGGAAACCAGGAAGTAGATAGGAAAATACAGTCTTTATTTGTCATCTGAAACAACAAACCAGAAATATAATTTTGCCTTTAAAAATCTTCTGTCTTAGGCTGAAGACATCACCACTGACAACGTCCAGCCTTCCCTGACTCCCTTTAGAAAAGCCCCAGGTCTGGTGTCAGCTGGCACCCCAAAAGAAGGAAGACTGCAGGCCAGCCCGGTGGGCAGCCTGCACCCGGCCCCCTCTATCCCTGTCCTGCCTCAGAACCGTGTTCTGACGGCCTCCCCCGGGCCACTCCCTAGACTCGCAGCCGTCGCAGAGCCAGAAACCGGCCTGCTGGCACCTGACCCTCCGTAAGCGGCGGGGAGGCTGATGTCCTGCAGAGCGAGGCCCAGGACTCACCGGGATCGCACTCCCCAGGAGGGCAGACCTCGGAAAGGGGACCGGTGAACCCCACCCTGCACTGCCCCCTCCCACGCCCACCCTCAGCCTCTGTCCCTTTGGGGGGGCGGGTTACAGGTAACGAGCAGATGGGCCCCTGGGCCCTTGCTCTGGTTTGGGCCCCAGTCCAGGTGCCACGAGGACTCTGGGAAGTCAGACTGAGCTGACAGAACGCTGGGAAAAGGACCCCGTTACTGAGACCTCTGAGCAGAACGGGGCGGGGGGGTCCTTTCGCTGCTCCCGGGGTCTGTTTGGTATATGCTGGCAGGAGGGTCACAGAGGATGAGCCAGTCCCCGCCCTGGGGTCACGGGCCCAGAGATGCTGAGGGTGGGGCATGGCAGTGGGAGGTGCAGAGCAACGGTTCTCGGGCCGCAGGCCGTGGGAGTGGGAGCGGTGCGCGTCCCCGCGGGCCTGGCAGGGACGTCCTTTGGCAGCACTGAGGATGAATCCGGTGGTGCGTGGCCGGGCTCTCGGGAGGCCACCATCCACACACGCTGCATCTTCCAGGCCTCTGGGCAGGCGTCCCTGGAAATCCCAGCAGGAGAGGTGTGAGTGGGTTACCATGGTGACGGGCAGTCTCATCCGGCAGCACCACCTTGGCCTCTTGAGAGGATCTGGAAGGAATCCTTGTGCCGTGGGTTTGGGTTTCTCCCCATCCGCTGCAGGAGGTTGCATAAGCAAGCAGCAGGTTGTGTGGCCCGAGCGCTGAGACCACGGGGGACGCCTGGCTCTGTTCCCCGAGGTCCCACGATCTCTGTCCCTACGTGACTGTGTGTGTGATGCCGAGCTCGAGTGAGAACGATTAGTGACCCGGAGCTGGGTGGTTGGTGATGCAGGGACAGATGGCTTTGGCGAGGGCGTGGTGCTGGGTTGCCAAGTGCTGGTCCAGATGGCTGGGCTGAATGCACGGTGGTACCAGCCATCGGAAGCTGGGCCCAACATCTTCCTGGCTTAGAAGAGAGTCGCAGAAACCGGCCCCGCACCCCCTAGACGCAGATAAGGTGGGTTGAGCCAGAGGAGGGGGGTGTCACCGGCTGTGACTGTACCGGGAGCCGCAGCGGTACGGGGGCGCTGGGTCCAGGAGCCTTTGCTCGCACACACACATCTTTTCTGCCCGTGGGCCAGAGCGTTTGTGGTCCAGAGGGGAGCGTCAGTGTACTGATACCTTCCGGACGCTCCGGTGTCCGTGGAGACACGGGCCCATTTGCTGGCGGGCTGGGGGGAAGGTGGAAAGGGGGCAGGAGAGGGGGGCTGGCGTGCCCCCCCAACCCCGCCCTGGGCTCTCAGGCCACAGAGGAGACCTGCTTCCGGTCCTCGTGCTCACCCTCCGCGTCACCCATCAGGGGCTGGCGCTTCTTGAGCTCCCGATGGTACTTGGCCATGAGGGAGGCGTAGATGCAGCCGTAGGCAGCGGCCACTACCATCATGATGCAGACCACACCGCACAGCACCCCCGCGATGATCACGGTGCCGATGGCCCGCCGCACGCTCACGGGCCGTGGCCTCTGCTTCTGGGGGCAGGCGGTGCTGGGCTCGGGCTCGGGCTCGGGGCCCGGCTTGGGCTTGGGAGGCTCCGGGCTGGCCTTGGTGCAGGGTGGCCCGGGTACCTCCAGCCCGGCTGAGCTGTTCTGGTCCTCCAGCTGGGAGCAGTAGTTGAACATCTCCATGGGGACCACGCGCATGTCCTTCCCCCTCAGCTCCTTGGGCAGGGTGCAGGCCAGCTGATCCAGGCGCCCCCCTGCATCAGGAGAGAGAAAAGGGGGGCTGAGGCCGGCACTCCCTCCCCCAGCCCCAGGTCCCCACACGGAGGCCCGGGAGGCCTAGTTTCCATCCGCAGCACTATCAATCCTGGAGTCATGGCGACAGGAGAGGAAGGGGAGAGGTTAGGGGACTGGCGTGCGGCGCCCAGTGACGGGGAGGCGGGTACACGTGTCCCGGCGTTTAACCCGCGCAGAAGCCTCAGAAGACGGACGGTGTCCCTGCTCCCATCTGATAGAGAAACAAACATTCCCACCTCTCCTGCCCCCCGGGTCAAGCTGGCCCCCGGGTGCTCAGGAAAGGGGGGCCAGGAGCCCTGCCAGGCGGCAGCCCGTGCCTGTCCTAACTGACCTCTCCACTGACCGCCGTCCGTGACCCCCGGCTCTGCTCTCCCCAGCGACTGCTCCCCCCGCGCCCCTCCCGCCCGCACAAAGGACAGAGGTCAGAGCCTCGGCCCTGCTCCTCCACGCGGGCGGGACCGTGGTTCCTAAGGCTCCTCCTTGGAAGAGGGAGAGGGGGGCCAAGGGACAGCAGTTTCCTCCTTGAGGGCAGTGGTGGCCCCCTCAGCAGCCCGGCCACAGCACCCGTGAGCGCAGTGGCATCTTGGGAGGGCACCCTGAGGACCCCCGAGGGCAGAGGAGGGCGTGTGGGCAGCGCAGGCTCACCCCGAGGCCTGGGCGGGGAGGGTGCAGAGCACAGGTGGGGCGAGAGGAAGAGGAGCTGCCCAGACGCCCCCCTTTTGGCCTCTTCGGGCAGCCCAAGATCTAGACGCAGGCGCGGCCCCCAGGGAAGTGCCTGGGCTCCTGCAGCCCCATTGCCGCAGTCTCCTCACACAATAGACATCAGTCTTTCCCGGGTGCTGAGGAAAAGAGCCCAGGTTTTTTGTTCTGGTTTGGTCTGCGTTTTTTTGGAGGAGCGCATGGCGGAAGATAACTCTACTAGTGAAAAGTTCCTAAAATGTACATTCCCCCTCCGTGCCCTTCAGCTCCTGATGACCGATGACTGGAGGGGCAAGGACGTCCCCTCCAGATCACACATCGGTCTGGCTCTCCAGACCCCTGTCCAAGGCTTACATCCCGTGAACTGTGTCCAGGGCCTTTGCACGGGCGGGGGCTGGGCGTGGAGATGCAGCCACCCTACCTCCCTGCTCCAAAAACCTGAGGCTGACTCCCTCCCGGCCAGGGCATCTTGTGCAAATCACTTTACATATCGAATTGCTGAGGAGTCTCGATTTTCTAGGCTGTCAATAAGAATGGCCGTCTCAGCTGCAGCTCAGTTAGGGTTCAAGTGGGTCACGTACATGGTAAGATATTTGGAAACTGGAAACCATGCAAGCGTTATTATTTCTCCTCTCACAGAAGCGGGAGAAATTATCACAGGGACTAACATCTTATGGCACTTTATCGTTTGTGAAATGTTTTTAATTAACACGTGAGAATATTATGCAAATAATTAAATTGTGGAAACACTATGAAACAAAGGGAGTAAGACTTTGACGAAAGCATTAGTGTTCGCTTCACATCGATTCACTCGTTCAGCAAATTCATGGAGCCCTACTTCCTGCTGGACACCAAACTGTGTCTAATTAAGCCCGGTTAATATTATGACTTCCGCCAGCCAGTGGACATATAAATGAGTAAGTTTTATCGCAGACTCACTTTATGCTGGGTCCTTTTCCAGACGCTTTCCATGCGTTACCTACCTACTCCGCACAGTGATTCTCTGAGATAGATTCTCTGAGATTGGCCCCATTTCACAGACGAGGGTGCAGCCACAGAGAGGTCAGTGAGCTCTCTCGAGATCACGCACGGCTGGTAAGTGGCAGAGCCACGAGGCAAAGCTGGACCTGGCGCTTTTAGCCAGCAGGCTTACTTCTCTGCCCTTGTCCATTTCATTTAATCATTCCCAAGGTCATTCTAGAACTTTCCCGGGTCACCGAAAGGGGAAGCATTTGGCTTCTCAGTAAAAGCTTTGATAACAGAACTTCTAGGGAGGAGGAGTTGAGATCATCGTCAAAAAGAAAATGTGACCGCATTTGTGGATTTGAACTCAATTCCACCCTCCCGGCACTGTGGGTACTTAAGAGGTGGCTGCATTATTCAGAGGAGCAAGGGTGGTTTTTTGTTTGTTTTTTTTTTGCGGTACGCGGGCCTCTCACTGTCGCGGCCTCTCCCGTTGCGGAGCACAGGCTCCGGACGCGCAGGCTCAGCGGCCATGGCTCACGGGCCCAGCCGCTCCGCGGCACGTGGGATCCTCCCGGACCGGGGCACGAACCCGTGTCCCCTGCATCGGCAGGAGGACTCTCCACCACTGCGCCCCCAGGGCAGCCCGCGAGGGTGGTTTTATCCCTCCTCCTCCCGGGCCAGGGGAGCCCAGAGGCAGAGAACAATGATACTGTGTGTTTAAGTCCATCCTGAAACCTACAGAAGTGAGAGCCAGTTACAGAGAGTCAGCCTGAGGAGACAGGGCAGAGCAAGGCGGCTGGGAGCGGAGGGGATGGGAAGCAGGGGGCCGCGGAGCCCCTGTGCCCGCCGGTGGCCAGGCCGGGCCCACTCCTCCCCGACCTGACCCGTGCTCACCTCGGTAGGAGAACCACTCTAGCCAGTGCTTGAAGTCCCGCAGGTGGCAGTCGCACTCCCAGGGGTTGTCCCCCACCTGCAGCAGCTGCAGGCTGGCCAGGGGCTCGAAGGTCCGCCGGTCCAGGCTCTGCAGGCGGTTGGCGCGCAGGAACAGGGAGCGCAGGGCGGGGAGCCCGTCAAAGAGGCCGGGCGGGAGCCGGGCCAGGCCGTTGAGGGACAGGTCGAGGTGGCGCAGGCGCGCCAGGGGCCGCAGCAGCTCGGGGTCCAGGGCGCGGAGGCTGTTGTTGCGCAGCTGCAGCTCCGTCAGGTTGGCCAGCCCCCCGAAGGCGGCGCGCGGCAGGCCGTCCAGGAAGTTGTTGGAGAGGTCCAGCCGCTGCAGGCCCGACAGGCCGGCGAAGGCCCCGGCGGGCAGGGAGCTCAGCCTGTTGTTCAGGAGCAGCAGGCTGCGGGTGGCGGCTGGCAGGTCCGCGGGCAGCGCGGCGAGGCCCCGGCTGCTGCAGTCCACCTGCAGGCCGTGGCCGTCGCACGTGCAGGGCAGGGGGCAGGCGGGGGCGGCCTCCGCCGTGCACAGGGCGATCCAACAGGTGAGCCCTGCGGGACAGACGGGGCATGGCAGGACTGCGGGTCGCCGCTCCCACTGCCTTCCCCTCCCATCCGCCTCCCATCACGCGGCCTCGCACCGATCCCCTTTGGCCCAACCACGCGCGGTGCCGTAGCGCTTCCTGACCACATAGAAACACAACGAACCCCCCGCAGCACGTGCATGTGGACGGACACCGCTGGGCAGCCGGGGTCCCCACACGGCCCCGACACCACAGACACTGATGCGACAGAGGGTGTGAGGGTGTCAGACGGGCCGCCCCATGTTCCTCTCCCAGGGCCGCTGCCATGGAAGGATTCTGTCCAGAGAAAATGGCTCTGCTTCCTTCCCCTCTGCACCGCACCCCCCACCACCACCACCTGGAGCTGCACGGGGCTGATGGCCGTGCATGGGAGGGGCCGCGCTGCACACACGAAGGGGCACACCGACCCCTGCCACCACTTCCCCGGTCTGCATGAGTCCCACATCCAAGGTGGGCCAGCGACTCAGGGTGACGAGGGAGCCCGGGCCCGCCCGGGCCCCACCCCAGAGACCCCTGTGGAAACGGCGGGGTGAGATGCTGAGTTCCACGTCCAGGTGGAGGATGCTGGGGCACGAGCCCCCGAAGTTGTGGGCCCGGGGCAAGTCCCACATCTCTTCTCACTCTACAGCCCCCTTGCCCTTAGCCTGGGCCCCTGTCCCCAGTTTCCGCAGGACAGATCTGTTGACAGAATTCCTTTCACGGTCCCATGTTTTGCCCAGGGCCCCTGTGGCAGGGCTGCAGGGGGACAGGTGCTCAGAGAACAGTCCCGCAGGGCAGCTCGTTCCGTGGCCCACCCTTCTAAGAGTGACTGCAAAGCCCCCGACTGTCCCCCAGGGTGTCCCTGTGGAAGGGGAGGATCCCACCGGGCCGGGAGGAAAGGCCCCAGCCGAGGAGTGCTGGCCGCTTGGCTCCAGCTGGAGGGGCAGCAGCTGCCCTGACCAGGGGTCTGGAGGGGACGGTCCTGAGTCTGTGTCTAGTAGGGGTCTGCTGTCTGGTGTCCCAAAGGGCAGACCCTGAAGGAACAGGGTGGGACTGCACCCCCCTTTCCTAGAGGATCGGTGACTCCTGAGAGGCACCTGCCAGGCTGACACCTGAGCGTCTTTGTTCTCGGGGGGAAATGAGCACAGGCACGGCCATGGATGCCAACTGGAAGCCCTTCCGGCCACCTGAGGTCACCTGAGGGCCGCTGACCCTCTCGCTGTCTGCGGCCAGGTCAGCCCGTCAGACGACCCCCGCCATGCCTTGTGGAAGTCAACTGAATTCCTCAGACCTCACTTTCCCCAGAAAAACACTCAACCCACCCAGCCTCCCTCTCAAAAGGACCAACATAACTACAGGTCACTGTCCCCCCACCCCCAAGAAATTCAGGCTGGCGGAAAAGCTCTGGTGGCAAGAAAACAGAGCCCTGTGTTGCGAGGTGTTGAGTGATTCAAAAGGAAGTTGAGAGGGGAGCTGGGTCCCTCGGGATCAGCTGCTCTGTGGGGTGAATAATTCAGGCCGCTTGTGTCTTGGGGCGGCAGCATCACAGGGCTGACCGTGCGAGGGCAGGAGTCAGGGACGTCCCTCGAGACCATTCTTACCTCTTACCCTGTAGCCTTGACCCTTCACCTCGTGAAGAGAATTCCCAGGGCTTCCTTCACCCGACAGCTCACAAGGTTCCCTTGTGGGGAGTGGGCGGCCTCTGTCTCCCCATATGCAGGAGGAGGGGCTGGACCCGCTCCCTAAGACCCCTTCCAGTGTCACGTCCCCCGAGCCCCCTGGTTCCCCCTCCCGTCTCGGAGCTACGGGGGCTGAGCCCTAAGGGAGGCCTCCAGGCCCACCCAGCTGATGGCCGAGCAAGGAGAGGGCGGTTTGCCATTAGGGCAGCAGGACCTGCTGGGGCCCCTGGGGGTGGAAGCAGACCCACCTGGGGGGGACAGAGCTGCCTGTGGAGCCCCTGCCCCCGATCCGCCCGCCACAGAGCTCAGAAGCAGCTCTTCCCCCGGCACCGTGGGCAGGGCTGCGGGGACCGGGCCCTGCTTCCCAGACCCAGGCCATGGACGCCTGGGAAGAGCATTCCTGCATCCCCGCTAAGCCGACCCCCGCCTCCACTCACAAGAGATCTGCCTCCACAGCGGGGCAAACGAGGTGCTCAGCTCGGGGCCGCTGCCCGGGGCCAGCATGGTGGCTGCACGGCTGTCAGGCCCGGCACCTCGAGGGAGAGAGGAGCCCCTTGTCCGCTCGGTCAGTCCTGAGAGAGAGGGAGAGAGAGCTGAGCGGAAGCAGGTGTCAGGCCCGTGCAGCCCCGGGTTATGGAGGGGGCCCGGTGTCTCTTTACCCTCCCCTCCTGTGTTCTCGGCTCTGATTCCCTGGGCGGGGGGGCGGCAAGGGGGCCGAGAAGCCAGGAGCCTCTGCCTCCGTCGACAGCAGAGGGCGCGTGGAGGGGCAGGCGGGCACCCCAGGAGCCTCTGCCTCCGTCGACAGCAGAGGGCGCGTGGAGGGGCAGGCGGGCACCCCAGGAGCCTCTGCCTCCGTCGACAGCAGAGGGCGCGTGGAGGGGCAGGCGGGCACCCCAGGAGCCTCTGCCTCCGTCGACAGCAGAGGGCGCGTGGAGGGGCAGGCGGGCACCCCAGGAGCCTCTGCCTCCGTCGACAGTGCTGAGGCCAGTGCTGGGCGATGCAGGAGCCGTCCACCCGCCCTGCACCCCTCACCTCCCGCCCAGCCTCTCCCCGCCTCTTCTTGTCTCCCTGGATGATCTCGTAAACGTGTTCGGAGCCACGTGGCCTCCTCTGCCTCTGGGCTTCCCCCACGTCCCAGGCGCGGAAATCATCGAGGGCCAGCTGGCCCCCCAGCCCCACTGTGCTCTTACCATGGCCCCCGAGGAGGCAGAGACCAGGCCCCGCGTAGGGGTGGCCGTTGGCTCGCGGGTGAGGCCCAGGCCCGGCTCTTGCCACGGGGAAGCCCCCTGCTTGCCCTCCGCGGTCTCCTGGGGGGTGAGCGGCCGTGCTCTGTCTTCTGCCACCGGCAGGTCTGGGATAAACCTCATCAGCTCAGGGGCTCGTGCTGCAGCCGCTGCCGTCGGGCACAGGGGCAGGGAGAGGGCGAGGCTGCAGCGCAGAGAGCGGCTCCTCTTCCCGAGGGGCGAGGGGGCCTCCCCCTTCCCAGGTGACCTGCCCTGGTCCCACTCCCTTCCAGGCGTGGCCAGGGGCCCGTCACAGGGGCGGGAAAGGGGACTGCGGGCCCCCTGCCGCCGGCCCAGCGCGAGGTGGCGAACGGACAGAGACGGGCCAGCAGCCTCCCCTGCTCGGTGGCCACGCTGGACCCGGGGGCTCCAGGCTGCAGCCTCCCGCTCCCCTCCCACAGCCGCCTTAATTCTGGGAGCCCAAGGGGCTAATGGCAGAGCAGAGCGGAGCTGAGGGGTGGGGGCAGCCGCTGGAAACTCAGCATCTGAGCAGGATCTCCCTCAGGCACTGGGGGCCGCTTCCGTCTCCTCCCCGCTTACCGCTGCCAAGCAGCCTCCTGGTCCCACGAGCCCACGAGCGCCACAGCCCCGGGGGCCCGCAGCTGGGCCCCGGCAAGGGCGCCCGCTCAGGATGGGGGCCCGCCGGGGAGGGGGACTGCTCGGGGGGCCTGTCTGTCACTCTGGGCTTCACCCCCCACCAGGGGGCTCGCAGAGGCTGCAGAGCGAGTCACACTGGGCAGATGTGGGGCGAGGGGTGCAGACCCACATGCCTATAGGATGGATCCGGGGCCCTGGGCTGGGGGCGGAGTAGATGCCCAGAGCAGCTGAGGGGTCTTTTCCAGCTACCCTCCCAGGGCCAGGTCCCCGGGGCTCCTGGCTCAGACTCCCAGGTCAGGGAGGGCTCTGGGTTCGAATCCCTGCCGGCCGCTCCCTCGCTGTGTAACTTAAACAAATCACGGAAACCCTCTGGGCCTCGGTTTCCTTATCTCTCAAGGTGATGACCAGAACACACTGCCCTCCGTGAGGGTCACTCTGGTCGGGGGAGGAGAGCTAGCATTTGCTGAATTCAGGAGACATCACCTTGCAAGGCAGTCTAGGGGACTCCAAGCTTGGACCTGAGCCCCAGGTAGACGTAGGGAGACGTCAGTGCCCTGTGTCCGCGGGGAGGGGCGGCGGCTTCCAGCGCGTCTGCGGGACCTCTCTTTCTTGGTCCCCCAGTCTCACACCTGGGTGTCTTTCTCTGTGCCTGGGCCCGTGCCAGGCCAGCAGCCGTCACATGGCGGTCACCGTGGGCCGCGCTCACACACAGCCTCCCAGGCCTCCATCACTGAGGACGCCGTCCACCCTCTCCGTGAGCCTCGGCCCCGACCCCTGGAATAGTCCCACACTCCTCTCGCCAGCGAAGACCCGCAGGTCGGCAGCTCACAGCGCCCACGCGGTGTCAGGGGGGTCAGCAGCCAGCCAGGCTCAGAGGTGGAGACCAGCGTGCCTGGTCACGCGGCCGGTCAGGGACACAGGGCCGCCCCCTGGGGACTGTCCCCCGGCAGTGGCCCCTGGGGGGTGACACGTGTGTGCGCTGAGCGGGGTGCACACACAGGCTCCCAACACAGCGTGTGATGCAGACCACCCCCCCAGAGAGCGTGCAGCCACACACACGCACACGGGTGCACTCGCGCGCACGCTGGCAGCCCTCCAGCATCCCCAGATGCTGTCACTCCCGCAGTTCCCGCGTGCCCCCAGCAGACAGATGCACGGGGGGACCTCCAGCCCGGAAGCAGGGCCTAGAGAAGCCCCCCGAGGGCCGCCCCCAACCCAGGACCCTTTCCACACTCAGACCCACGCCCTGGGATCTCTGGAGAAACGTGACGGGAACAAGGCCCCCCAGGTCCATGGGGATGTAGCCTGCGCTCCCTGGGGACCACAGAAGCACCCCTCAGGCGCTGTGGGGTCCATCACCCTGCCCTCCAGCCCACCTCCAACCCAGGACCCCTTCCGGCCCCCAGAACCATCTACCTCGTTAGGAAAGGGGTGACCTACATTAGGATGCCAGGAGCACAGCAGCTCAGGCAGGCGTGGCCACTGCGGAATAAATTCACACCGTCTGGGAGGGAAGTCCCCACCCAGGTGGGAGAACGGGCAACGGAAACGAGTGAGGTGGCGGTCTCGGGGCTCCAAGCCCCACAGCCTGTGGGCATTTCTGTCCCAGTCCCAGGGACAGGGACACAGAGAGGAGGGTGGACCCAGCGGGGTCCCCAGCCTCCTTCGCTGGGCTCTGCTGAGAGAATCAGGATAGAGGATGGGGCTGAGGAGCTGCAGGCCGAGCGACGCCCCCCCAGGATAGGAACACGGGCTCTGGGCCCCAGCCCTCTGCTACTCCAGCGTGGTCCACGGGCCAGCAGCAGCAGCCCCACCAGGAGCTTCCCAGACCTGGCCCAGGCCGACGGGGTCAGGATCTGCCTCTTAACGTACCTGGTCACGTTCGAGAAGCCCTGGGCCAGGTCACTTCTCTCCCAGCAGCGCAGACCCCGGCACCTCCCGGGAGGCCGCAGCGGGGGATGGCCGGGGCCGGGGCAGCCGGGGGCGGCGGCGATGGGGGATGCTGGCGGTAACAGCTCTGCAGGAGGGCTCCGCATGGGGGGAAACCATGCCCGCGGGGAAACACCTGTGTATGGTTCCCAGTCCCCGCAACAACTGTCTGGGGTTAGAAGCACTGTTGACACCATTTTGCGGATGGGGACACGGAGACTGGGGACAGGTAGTAACTTGCCTAAGGGCAGGCAGTGGGAGGGTGCAGCCAGGGCCCAGGCGGCCTGGCGACAGAGCTACTGACCAGCGGCCTCATGAGCCTGGAGGCCGGCTCTGCTGACCCGCCTGCGCGTGGAGGCTCCTGGAGCAGGGGGAGGGCTGCACCCTCGCGTTTGTGCAGCGCTTCACGCCGACCGGCCTCTCCTCGTCCTTCCGCTGCCTCTCTGCGCCCGACGCGGGTGCCCTCATCAAGCCGGGTCGCCCCCTCCCCGCCAGCCTTCTTCCCGGGGGCATCACAGATGCAGTGGGGAGAGGGAGGCAGGGGTCTAGCTGCGGAGGGGGTGGCGGGCTGAGGTGAGGAGGTGGGCTGGGAGCCCCGCGGGGGTGGCAGCAGGGCAGAAGGGCCCACGGGCTCCTGCGGAGTCACATGGGGTGTGGCATCCCCCCGAGACTGGGGGTGCGGGGGCGGGGACGGCTTCCCTTCCCCACGGGAGGAGCAGCCTGCCTCGCTCCCACCCCCGCCGACGCCCAGGTTAGGGTGGGCACCCTGACCCCTCTGTGCTTCTGCCCCCCACTCCTCCTCCGGCCAGGGTTGGCTCAGTCTCCAGCCGGAAACCTCCAGCAAACCCACCCGGGCCTGGCGTCCGCACCCTTCCTCTGGTGCTGCGTGGTCACGTCCATCCCCCCAAGTCAGTGTCCAAGCCGCACAGCCATCAGCGCCCACTGTGCCTTGACCTGAGGCTCCTGCCCCCTGGGACGTCTTGCTGGCCTGCCGTGTACCCCCTCCCCAGGGATCTCCCTTTGGTCAAGGTTCCCCAACCCGGGACAAGGCCTCTGCGCCCCTCCATTGTGCAGACAGGTGAAGGTCATGGGCTACCGAGCGGCAGGGACGGGACGGAGGCCACGCCTGGGGCTTCAAGGGCAGCACCTTCCCACCCGCCCGGCCGGGCTGAGGGGCACCCGGACAGGGGGACAGCGGGCGCCCACGCTGAGCCCTGGGGGTGCCGTCCAGGCCGCGCGCTCCACCTGCAGCCGCCGGTCTGGCCTTCCAGGCCCTTCCCACCTCTTCCCTGCCTGGCATCCCCGTAACACACGCGGCCCAGGCAGCGCGGAAGCTGGTTTTTTTAAATCTCTAAATTTGTACTTGGAACAGACAAACCCCCTGGTGCATTTTTAAACGCGTGCCCCGTTCTCATGCCCGCCTTCCTGCAGCCTCGTTTCCTTGTCATCCTTCCTTGTCAGACATTCCCACTCCCAACCAGACCCTCTGGAAAGCGGAGAAAAGCCCCCATCACCCCTCGCAGGAGCTGCTCTTGGGCCCGCGGGCCTGGCTCGGGGGTTGGGGGGGGGGGTGGACCCAGGCAGGCAGGATAGAGAGGCCTGATCTGTGTAGGAGGAGGGGGGAGGCCTCCCCAGGCACCCCAGCCCTAAAACACCCCCCTCCCCGTGCCCCTCAGCGTTGGGGGCTGGAAATGGGAGCAGGGTTTGCTTGTCCCAGGCGCAGCTTCCAGCCAAACCCCAAAGGAACCAGATCGGTTGCTGAAGAAGCTCCCCCCACCCCCCGTCCTCCTCCTGGCACCCCCAGCCGGCTTCCCTGGTCTCCCTCTCTTGGCAAAGCTGGATGGAGCCTGTGCCGGTGTGGAGGGGGACACGGCCGCGGGTCCCGTCCCAGCTGCACTCCCCGGCCCCGTAGTTAGCTAAGCTGCTGGGTGTCAGTCTGAGCCAGGCCTGACAGCCAGGTGCCAGTGTCCCCACCAGCCACCCCAGACAGGCAGACAGCAGCTCAGGGAGAGGATAAAGGGCCCCGAGAGTGAGTGGGGAGGTTGGGGCTCCCGGTCAGACGGCCTCCGTCCTGCCCCGGCCGTATACCAGCCACCCCTAAGCTGAGTCCACCCCGCCCCCCAAGGCTTCCTGAGCTCTTTCGTAGGTAGAGAGGGTGTGCAGCTGGGGGACCCCAGCCCCAACCGGGCCCAGGCAGGCTGGGAGCAGAGCTGGAGCCTCGAGGAAGGGCCGGAGGAAGGGCTCCGAGGCTCCTCTCCCGCATCCACTCCCGGCCACGCCCCCCATACGAGCCGGGGACTCAGGTCCAGCTGGGGGGACCCTCTGCACCCCTGTCCAAGGACAGCCTGCTAGAGGCCAGCGCGCCTCGCTGAGGGCGTCCTGTAGAGGCCGGTCAGCACCCCTGGTCCCTGCCCCCGCCTCGGCGCCAGCCCTCCAGTCTGCCACCCCACAGACGTCCTGTGTGCCGGCCCTGTCACCAGCACCCCCTTCCCCCTGGCACCCAAGTCCCTGGGGCTGCCTGCTGAGCCGGGCATGCAGGCGGCACAGGGCTCCTGGCTGGCGCCCCCCATGCTGCAGGGACCGGTTTCTATGCCACCGGGCCTGTCATCCGGCACTGGCAATACCTCCTGCCCTCCTTCCCCAGCAGAATCCCAGCTCCTGTCCCCAACGCTGGGAGGTCAGAGTTCCCTGTGTCCTTCGGCTGCCCAGGGGTCCGGTCCTGAGCACCGCCCCAGCCCCAGCCACTGCCCCCAGGCAGGAGGCAAAGCAGCTGTCCATGCAGGCAAGGAACCCAGCGGAGATGGGCTCGGCCCCAAGCCTGGCCCCTGCACCCGCCCCCCGCGCCCCTGCCCAGCGCACGGCACTCACCTTCCGCACCCCAGCGAGCGCCCTGAATCAAGTGGTCTGAGCCGTCCAGTGAGCCCCTCCTGGGGTTCCTGGAGAAAGGAGACAGCGAGCGCAGCAGCACCAGCCTGATCCCCCAGCAGGACCTGGCACGCAGAGCCCCGGCGGGAGGAAGGAACGCCTGAGGCCGTCTCCCACGGCGGGCGGGCGGCCGGGTCTCGGGAGCCGCGGAGAGGGGCAGGCGGGGAGGGGAGCGCGTGTGCGGAGCGGAGAGCAGCGGAGTGACAGCGGGGGAATGTCCGTGATGACAGCGACAGGCGCGCACACGGGAAGGCGGGCGCACGGAAGGCGGACACACAGGCGCACACACACCGGAGGCGCTCACCCTTGAAACGCTCCCTTTTCAGGGGGAGACGCTGCCATGAACTCCAGCGGGAGGAGGACTGTTTACCAGGTCCTCTATTTTCTCTCCCCACCCCCGCAGGTTCTCCCTGCCCTGGCTGCCGCCCCCTCTGGCTTTATCTCCTCTCCCCTTGCCTTTGGGGACACAGGGGCAGGACCCAGGGGACAAAGGCTCCGGGAAGCTGGGTCTGCATCCTGTTCGGAGGTGGGGGCAGTATCTCCCACCCTGCCTGTAGGAAGGGAAAGCTGATCTGGGTCTCTGTCAAGGGGCGGCTTATTCCAGAGGGGGTACCTGGAGGGGTGCACGGGGGCCCATCTGCCTGGTGGTCCTTCGGAAAGGGGCCCCAGGCCACACAGCCGGGGGCACACGGTCACGCAGAGGTCACTGAGCCTCGTGACCCCAGACCGGGGCTATCTGGGGAGGGAAATGCAGGCAGGCTGGGCCGGGGGCCTGGGGTCAGGTTGCCTGGGGCACCCTGGGGTGAGCCCTGAGGAGGGGCCAAACCCAGCCCACCTCCCGGGCCTGGCTTCTGCTCCTGGCTCTGGGCTGGATGGGAAGAGACTGGTATAGAGAACTCAGAGACGTCTTTACCAGCCAATCAGGACAAAGGAGTGGGAGAAACTGATATTCCAAGGGAAGGCAAGCGTTGATCCAAAGGAAAGAAAGCCAGGCACCGAGTCAGGGGAGGAGCGGCGGCCAGAGCTGGACCGGAGGTGACCTTCCTGGCATCTCTTGAAACCTGCCTGACAGCCAGACACGTGGCATGTTTCTGGCATCCCTTTTCCATTCCGCCTGCTTTCTGGGGGATCCACTGTCAGCCCTGGGTGCGGGTTGAGAGACCCCCCTGACTCAGGATGCTCCCACACCCTCTCTGTCTGCTCCGCCGTCCGACACCGCAGGGATCCCCTGTCTCCCACCCCACGCCCATGTCACACGCACCTCGCCTGCCCCCAAACACGCTTCCTGTCCCCCAGCTGCAGTAGAGTGTGTGTCCTTCCTTGAGTCTGGGACCCTCTCCTCACCCACGGGGTACATCCCGCTCCTTGAAAACTCAACCAGAGCTCATGTCCTGGTGCACCGTCCCAGGCTAGTGCCCGCGGGACCTTCTTCTCCGACCCGTATCACAGAGGACGCGTGGCAGCTTTCTGTGGGTGGTTCACCCCCTTTCCTACACCGGGGGCTGTCCCGGAAGAGGGGTCCACCTCGCCAGGCTGAGTGAGGAATGAGCCGGAAGGAAGAGCCCAGCGGGTGTCCGGGGCCCAGAGGCTGGACTGTGTTGCACGCCAGCCCGCCATCAGCTGCCCGTCAGCCCCACAGCCCGGGGCTGCCCTGCAGTGACCAGGAGGGATGACCAGGTCTCTGGGGTCCCTGGGCACCGGCTCCCCAGCTGGTGCCTGAAAGATGGGCCCCCGCTGACCCCGCAGCCCTCGCACAGGTCAGCACAGCCTGCAACTGGGTTTCGAGGACAAAGTGGATGGGAGGGCGCGGGGCACGATGGAGTTTCTGCCCCCCGGGGCATGCTCCCCCCCCCCGGGGAGGGTTTCTGTGTGTGCAGCACAGCTGTTTTGTTTCGCCGTCTGTGATGACAAAGCAGCACGCAGGTGACAGCCAGGACGCAGAGCAAAGAGGTGCATCTTGATAAGCCGCCTGCCGCCTGTGGCCTTACTGAGGCTCTTTGTCTGCCAGCCGAGCGCGGGTCCTAGAGAAAAGCTGCTTTGCAGGAAGGCAGGCAGAGGGAAGGCGGGACCCGGCCCCCAAGGGGGACAGGCCAGGCTGGGGCAGGAGGAAGGGGGTCCAATCGCTCCTCCTCCATCCGACTGTGGTAGGTCCCCCTGGGGACTGAGGTCGGGCTCTAACACAAGGAGCCGCCAAGCACAGGCCCGGAGGGGGAAGCAGCCTGGAAGGATGGAGGCCTCGCCTGCCCTCGGCCGGGCCGGCTCTCTCCTCACCATGCGCTCTGCCCTGTCTGCAAAGCCCGGCACCAAGGGCTATTCTCTGCCGCACACAGCAGGCTTGCAGGAGGTGCTGGGGGCAGGGTGGCCAGCCCGGGGTCCACTGGAGCGAGGCAACGGGGCCCGAGGGCCGCCCTGCAGTCTCTCAGGAGAAGGCTGGGCTCTCGCGGTGTCTGGGGTGGAAAAGCACAGTTTGGGTTGTGAGGCAGGCGTCGAACAGAAGGATGTAACAATTCGAGCCCCGAGGTAAAGCCGTCAGGCGTGGCAGAGCACGGCTAACAGTTCTCCCTGGAGGAGGTTCTTCTCGTGTCTCGCCTGAATTCCCCGTCTCTTTGTGGGTTCCCTCCTGGGTCCTCGAGGGCACCAGAGCCCGGCTAGATCGCTAGCATTCTGTCCCGCATCTACAGAAGGGTGGGGCTCCACGTGGATGAAGGTGCCCACACCGGAGGTAAGGGGAAGGCTTGCAGAACTGGCTTCCCAGCCAAGTGACCGACTCAGTGGAATTCACAAGCACTTACTTATTTAGCTCAAAAAATATTTATTGAGCCCCGATGCGTGCTAGGTGCTCTCCTAGGTGCAGGTATCGGAACTCAACCCCCCACCCTCCCGCCTGCTGTTAGCCCCCATGCTAACGGGGCAAGACAGACTATAAATGAGAATTAAGTAAATAAGTCATGCATCTTAGAAAACAAAAAGAGTGATGAGATAGAGGGTGAACGGCCGGCCGGCCGCAGGGAGGATTGCGTTATCTGGGAAGTCAGGATGCCGCTCCAGGAGACGCTGTTTGGGCTGAGATCCGACCATGAGAAGGAGCCTCCTCCTGAAGTTCTAGGGAAGAGCATTCCCAGAGGGAGAAAGCAGCTGGTGCAAATGCCCCGGGGTGGGAAGAGGCTTGGCCTGTTTGAGGGAGAAGGATTTGGGCTGAAGTCAGAGGTTGGTGGCCGGGCCAGCTGCCTTGGGGCCTTGGACACCAAATTACAAAGGAATTTCAACTTTGTTCTAAGGGCAGCGGGAAGGCCTTGGAAGGTTTTTAGCAAGAGAGAGACGGGATTTGATCTTCAGGAAGGTCCCTCTCATGGTTCTGTGGGGAGCGACCCGCTCAGGGCTCTGTGGCGTTAATCCAGGTGGCTCTGGGGGTAGCAGGAGGGGTGGAGAGAGTGGGCAGATGCATGAGGTTCTGGACAAAGGCGGTAGCACCTGGGTGGGACACGGGAAAATGGTAACAATTCGGTAGGTGGGGAGGTTTGGGGAGGAAAAGCCAGTTAGGTTTTGAAGTCGTGAAGTTTGAGATGCCTACTGGTGACCCAAGGGGGACGGCAGCAGGCAGCTGGAAGTCGTAAATCCTAGGAGCGCGGCTTGCCTTGGAGGAGCCCGTGGTTCCACGGAGACGGAGCGTGGTTCCACGGAGACGGAGCCTGGCTCCGGAGAACAGGCTTGAGGTCTCACTCCTCCCATCTCTACCCACAAGCCTCAAAATCCTGCTTCATTAGATGGGCACCAACCCCGCTGTCTCAAGACTCCCTGTGGAGGAATCACAGAATTTCTCCCAGCTCAGAGATGCCGGGACTCCAGGAGACTTGGCGGCGAGACATCGAGAGGCCGAGTCTCGCTCGGGAGAGTCTGAGAGCCTTGGCCCAGAGGCCAAGGTCACGGTAAATAAGCGTCCCTAAATCCCAAAGGTTGGAACATCCTAAGCTTTCGTGTGACTCCCCTCTGACAACTGTTAGGAGGTTCCTCTCTTTCATGCAGCCTTTTTCCACAGGTGAGAGAAATCTGTCTAAAGTGAACATCAAGGGTGGTCCTAACAGGAAGAATGAGGGGAGGGGCCGAGGGGCCTCCCGCAGCCTTAGAGAGAAATGGGGGGAGGGGAGCACGCCTCACCTGCCGCTCAGGTGCTGCACCTGGGTCTGTCCTCTTTGTCATGAACCGAGATGTGGGCCTACCAGTCCCCTTCCGGCCCACGCCTTTTACCCGCCCCCCGGACCTTGCAGCAACAAAGAAGCCCCCGAATATGATGCAAAGTCTCGCCAATGAGCCGTCACTGGGGTGACTGCAGAATGTCTTGTGAACACGGCCTAGTGGCTGGAACCCCGACCCATCCCCGCATCACAGATGAGGGCACCGGGCCCTGAGCGGGGAGCTTGCCCAGGCCTGTCAGCCCCCTCCCGACGGGGGCTCAAGTCAGGCCAGAGGAGAGAGGTGAGGTGCCTTAGAGACAGCGGTGCGTGGGTCCTGCTTCTGTGTTCAGGGGCCAGGCGGCTCGGGCGAGGCTTCCCCGGCCGTGAAGCCCCAGCGATAGCAGAGCTGGCCTGCTGTGTGGACACGACCTCAGGACGCAGGGGGCCTGGCACTCAGCACACTTTCTATATTCTTGTCTCTGACGGTAGGAGGCCGGCCTCGTTTCTTTATTCTTTTTCTTTCACTATAACCTGGCTTTCTTTCTATTCTCTGGCCCCAGATTTCTCTTGGCATCTGGGCACTGGCTTGCATTCTCCAAGCGTTTGGGGACCAGAGCGGCGTGGCGGCCCTTGTGAGCAGCAGCATCAAAGCCTGGTTTTCTGGGGCTGGGAGCCTCCTGCAGGCCTGGGCGACACGGGCCCAACTTGCGAGGAAGGAGCCTTCTTACAGATTGGGCTGGGGGGCCGGAGCGGAGCCGGGGGGAGGGGCTGTAACTACCCACGAAGGCCCTGAAATCCAGCCTCGGTCTCTGTGGGAAAGGGGAGAGCGGCCTTCCCAGGGTGCCTGCCTCGAGCTCCAGGGATGCAGATACGGAGCCGCCGGTGCCCCCACCAGGAAGCTAGTCTGCAGGCTGCTAGTGCCCCCCCCCCCCCCCCCCCCCGCCTTCTCCCTCTGACTCAGATCTGACGTCTTCTCTCTCCCCCCACCCCCACCCCGTCCCCAAACACCCCCATGGCCTGGCCTGGCCCGCTCCTGGCAGCCGTGGGCGTACAGATGAGGATGGAGTTCCTGCGGCGTACGTTCTGGGCGGCCACCCGGCAGGTGGGTGCCAGGGGTCGGGGGGGGGGGGGCTGGACGCTCAGGGTGAGGACCCCCGACCTGTGCACCTGGCTGCTGCCACCAGCAAGGCCCTGCCTGCATCTCAGCGCCCGGACCCCCCAGCACACACTCCCCGCGCGTACATGCAAGGCACACACGCCAGGCACGCGCCACGGGCGCACCACACAAGCACACACACACGTCACACCGTGCACATACCCCTTGAGTACACACCACATTCACCAAACGGGTATGGGGCACACCCCTGCACACACATCACAGGTGTGCCGTGGACTCCAACCCCACACGGATGCATCACACACACGCACACACCACACACACACACAGGTGCACAGCTCATGGTTCCCCTCTTCCCTCCAGTGCGGCGCTGCGGAGGGTCCGTGCCCGGAGAGCTGCCAGGACAGTGTGAGCTCCCCACGGGGGGAATACGGTGGGAGAGGGAAGCAGCCCCCAGCCCGCGTCCTCCCGATGGGCCAGCCCCTCCTTCCCTGCAGCCCGGGCTCCACACAGAGGGCCTCCCTACACGGTCGGGCAGGCAGGGGCCGGGGCTCAGCAGCAGGGCCTGGCCTTGACCTCCTTCTGGGTCTCTTCCCAGGACCTGGACTGCTTCGTCATAGACAACAACGGATTCATCCTGATCTCGGAGAGGCCCCAGGAGGTAAGGCACTCGGGAGGCCCAGCGGCCTCGACGGTCAGAGAAAGCCCAGAAGCAATCCCGGCCCAGGGCCAACTAGAGGAAAAGGTCTGATGAAAACGGAGTCTCTTCCTAGAACCACAGCCAGCACCACAAGACCCCCAAATCCAGACTTCTCAACTCACACGCCCAGAGGAAATCTTACGTCTCGGGTCTTCTCCCACGATTGTTGG